ATTTCTCTGGGACTATCCCAATATCTTCTTGCTAAATGCAAAGTGAGATTAAGCAGACTTTACTTGCAGTATGTTCTGTGCATGCTGAAACTCAGGCTTTGGCAGGCTTCAAGAGAGAGGGTTCCAGAGAGAGTCAGTAGGAATGTTTTGTCCATCAAGATGTTTGAATCGGACAGTAAAAGCACTCCAGGCAGTTGTAAGTTATAACCACTAAAAGATACAGAAAAAGGCAGTCTCAGAGATAACTGAATCTGAAACCATATACTTTTGTTGGAAGATAACTCATGTCACTGCTGCTGCAGTTGGTTTTTAAAAAGTAATCTTTTTCTATTCAAGGTGGGGAAGAAAATCTCTAAAACAAAAAAATGACTGGGTGAGACTTAAAGAAGCCTCACATGCATTAGCCTTTATTTTGTTGATAGATATGGTTTGCTCAGAGTGCTGGTAAGAGATCATAGAGTTAAAGGGGGAATGAGTACTCTCTCTCTCTGCTTCTCTCTCCTCCTGTCCTCCTTGTCCTCTTCCTCCCTTCCCCATTTTTTCTTCCCCCCCCACCTCTCTCTCTCTCTGTTCAAATTTTGAACTTGATTCAGGCTGTGGTCTGATGTTCACTGCAGAAACTGCTTTCCTAGCTTAAGACAAAACTCCTGCTGGTTTAACCTCTTCCCTTGCCAAAGGTTATTGGCCCCACAGCACTGCAAGACTGAGTGGATTACTTCTAACAGTCTTCTATGGTAGGTTGAACTGCCTTGGCTGACTTTCCAATGAAGTGGGTGAGGATCACTCATGTGCCCACTCTGCTTGCTTTGCAGGATGCTGTGGAGGGCAGCACAAAGCTAGAGGCCCAGCCACCTCTGCTGTGAATACCTGAATGCATCCTTAGTATGATCCTAAGGAAAATGAACAATTTTTAAGTGTAGTTTATTACTAAGGTCTCTTTGTGACACTACTTCCATGCCCATCCTGAAAGAACGGCTCAGGATCTCCTTGATTTTAACCCACTCTATCTGGCTGTCTCTGATGGAAGAGGTAGTGGGGGGAAAAACTCTAAAAAATTAAATCTCTCAGACCTAGCTCCCAAATACTGAACTTAAGGGGAGTTTAGCTGAATAAAGATAGCACAGCTTGATTTGTATTATGATGTTTCAGAATGTCTTATGGTATTTCAGAGTCATTAAGATAAGTCATTAGAATAGTTTTACATAATTTTGTATACTACATATTCCAATGTAGAGACAGACACACGGAGATTGGATAGTCAGTATATATGAGACATTTCTGTAAATTTAATTAATAAAAATAATAGCAAAATGGTAGCACAGAGTCCTGTTCTTTCAACTTCTCAGTGTAAACCTTCTGGTTTTGTATTCTGGCAAACCAGTAAACAGAAATCTGGTTTTTGCAAACATTTTAAGGGCTCTGTTCCATGAACTACAACACCTGGTGTATCTCAGCTCTCAGTGTAATTTAAACAAACAGGCCATGTAACACATCTCTCTCTCAGTCAAATAAAGCAGACTTGGTGTGCTGCCAATTCTGCTCTCATTTATTTGCTAACCCCGGGTTTTATTTATTCCCTGAATCATCAAACACATTGCAGAGAGTGACGGGAGCAGACAATATTACATCAAATAGCTATATAATAATGTAAATAAAATATGGTAAATCATCAGGTACATTATTTGCCTGTTTTTAATTGCCCCAGTTCATTTTGTGCACTTGAACCAAAAGTATAGTAAATGAAAAAGCTTTTTATGCTGAGCAAAGTTAGAAAGAATATACCCATTGGATACTGATGTCCTGTTATTTAGATTAAGTGAAAAATACCTTTAACAAAAAAATACACCTGGATGTAATACAAAATATCCCACAAAATTTGTTTGTTTATTATTGTCTGTGACAGAATCTCTGACTTCAATGACTCAGGGATCAGCCCAGTACTGCCTGGCTGTGCGATACTGTCCTGTAAACAGTAACGGATGTGAGGATCTGTGAAATGCTGGAATGTTTTCCAGTGTTGAGTTACAGTAACTGAGAGGATTTCTGCGATCAGAGGAAGAGAGGAATGAAGAGGGAAAGAGGGGATGAAAGCAATATTTTGAAGTTAAGAAGTGTGAAGGAGATCACTCTTGGTTCCCACAGGGGCAAATAGTTTATGGTCAACAAACCATTGTGTGGATTAGATATGCAGAACAAGTGTGTAGGTGACAAAGCCTTGCGTTTGTTTAAGGTTTCTGTTTTAATAAGATTTGTCTAGCAAAGGTCTAGCCCAACTTTACATCAGATTGTTTTCCACTAGAGAGTTGACTTAAACCCTCACCAGATGAAGGGTAGGAGCTGACAGGTCAGTTGCTTCTAAAGCTAACTATCAAAAAAGAGGAATTACAATATTTATATGTGTAGTATGCTGTTGAAATACATTTCTGAAAACTGATTCCAAGAAGAGTCTTCAAGAGCAATACACAAATAATGAAGAGAAATTGATGGCCTGAAGACTTTTGTGTACAGTTTATGACTATAAAGTTCACCAAACACTCACTTTCTTCTGTTTATTAGTTGGCTGGTCCTGATAGGTTAACATGGGAAGAGAAAACTCTGCAGTACTTACAGTTGTGCCTTGACCACGTAATTGGAAAAGTAAATGGTTTCCCTATGATCAGAGTTGCAATCTGTGCCAAAATGACTGAACTCCATTCAAAAACCCCTTCTCATGAGTCATTTTGTGGCAATGCTTGTTAAGAGATGGCAAAATACCAGGAATAAAATGATCAGCACACCTCAGGCTGCTAATAGTAACAAAAAAAGCTTTTCCTACTATGAAGCCAGCTCCTCTCTAGAGTCTTCACACTTACACAAGCTTCCTATGCAAGAGTAAGTCAGATTCAGGCCACTCTTTTTTTTTTCTTTAAAAATGTACATCAAGATCCCGATTGATTTATCTCCTGTCCTAAAATGTAAAGGAGTGCTTAAGTTTCCAGTTTGTTAGCTAGTCCCAGTTTCCTTTAGCATATTTCCCTTAGAGAAAGAATGTCTGCAATATTTTGCATCTGAAAAAGAATGAATGGCAAGGCATGGTTGCAAAGGCTGGAATTCAAGAATCATTGGCCTCACTACTGAAAGCCATGAATCACTGGCTTGACTGTTCCAGGTCCAGCTCTGGACACCCCTCTGCCTCCTAAACCCATCACAATATATTAATTTGTACTGCAGCTACTCATGCATTGTGCAATACATTCTTTATTGCTCTCTTCTATTCATGCATTGTGCTCAAAAGACACTGCAGATTTTTTCCTGATTTTCTAAAAAAGCAGCAGAGGGCTATGATTCCTCTTAAATTTGAATCGAGTACATGTTAGAGAAAACAATTATTTCTCATCTTCAGAGTAACAGTTAGTTCTCCAGCATTTCAATAGCCATACTGAGTAGGAGAGTATATCCCTTTATTTCTGAGGATTTAGTTCCTTCCTCTATTATGTGGGCTGGGCGAAGAGCATGGCCCTAAGTAGTCTTCATGTGATTTATTCTACATTGACAACCACTTAAGTGGAGGCAAAGCTAGACCCAAAAGGCACAAAGTGATGAAAGCTGGAACTGAAAAATAGCATGACAGTCAAAATTACTGTTTCACACAGCCCTTGCTCTGACCATGTTAGAAAACTCTTGGTCTAAAAGGATCCCAAAAAGCCCTCTGGAAACCCAATCCCATGACTTATATGCTCTCCTTAAAGGCTTTTTTCTTTCCCTCTACAAAATGACATTGAAAAAAGCCTTGTGGACTTCACTACTTGCTGTAATTTGACAGCTTTTAGTCAAAATATTTTCCATTTACAAGGGAAGGACTTATATCCCAAACAAAGTTGAATGCACTAACATCTGCAAGTCAGACTGAGCTGGTTGTGGTTGGGTCATAGGCTAGATGGTCCCATAGAAGTGGAACACCTCCATGGCAGGAGATGGGAAGGGGTATGGAGGAGATGTACTACTCCAGGAACTTCATGATGAATTAACACTGGTGGCTCAGACCGTGTTTCCCAGGGACTCCCAAGAGTTGAGATGTCTCTTAATGAACCAAGGCTTTTGTGTTTGCCTAGTTCACTAGACTGGGTGAAAGACTGAAAAGGCAATGCCAGTGCATTACCTGCTGCAGGGGAAGACAGGAGGAACTGATTCTGGTCGCTAGGTATGCTATGATTGTTCAAAAGCAAACAGGAACAAAGCACTACCCTTTCCTTCCCAGCAGCAACCCTATGTTGATTCATAAAGGCCAGATGCTATCTGATCTTCCCACTGGGATTCGGTTAAGAATGCAGAGCCAGAACGCTCAAGTTCCCTCTGAGTATTATATAAAACCAAAAGTTAACTGAGCTGCTAAGAGGAGCATATATCACACACATAAATAAAACTTGTTTGATGACAAAGGCATTGCTTTGATGGTTGTTTTTCAGAGTAGAATTTCACATTAAAATGAAGAGCTAGGGAATGTCCCTATAAGCTCAAAAGTGTTTTTAAGATAGCTATTGCTAATCCATTGAAGCCAATCAGTTTGTGTATTCAAGACCCTTTTATAATCCAAGCGGTACTAAAAAAGTGTTTCCAGAGTTTTCCAGCTCCACTGTCGACAGCTCAGAAATGGGTCATCATGCATGTGCTTTCATAATCTTCTTTGTGTATGAAGATTCAATAATAAACTGATTTTTTTTTTCCTCTGGCATTCAGAATGAAGGAAAAAAAAGGAAAAAAACCAAGGAGCACAGATAGGCCTTTTCTAAAATAAAAAATCAAAAGTAATTCACCTTATTGCAAAAGTTGGATAACACTACAAAAACCTGAGTTATTTCTATCTTGTGTTATCTTTACTGAGCCTTAAATTAACCGAAAGGATCCCTGTGCTTGCATGATTTATCTCTGACTATATTGTAGGAGAAAGAAAACTTTGAAAGGAGACTTTAAAGTCAAGAGTGCAATAAACTTTTTTATTGTTTTATGTTTTTATAATACAGGTTTAACAAAGGATGTATTTTCTTTACTCTTCAGTCTGGATTTCTCTCTTTCAGTGTGAGAAGATTAAACCTGAAAGACTGTGTGTTGAAGTCCATGCTTATATCACTGTTAAGCTTGCAAATGGGAAAATGAGAGAGGCTACTTTTGTCACTCATGAGCTACATGTATTTTGTATATACAGCAAGTATAAAAAAGGTGTTTTCTCATTTCCTTAGATCTAAGTTCTGATCTGGTACTGCTCCTCTTGTTACTGTGCATAACATACTTCTGTCTCTCTAAATTAGAAGCTCTACCGTCAGTTGGGATGAAAATGAAGGTGTCAGCTACAAAGTTAGGGTTTTCATCTATGTGACCCAACAGTGGCAGTGTAGATTACTTATGAAAAGGTGATTTGAAGAAATTATGTGGATCATAAAGAAAGAACCAATTTTTCATTGCATAAGTGCATAAACTTACTATACTTTACATACCAAATGGCCAAAAGGAAAATCAGCTGTCAGGAGTTTTTTGCTGTGATGTTCATAAGGTCTCTCTTGCCTTGATATCTTTGTTGAACTAATGCTACCATGCCACTAATTACATGTTTGAGGCATATTCCACTGGGAGAAGGGTGTATGTTTCAATGTATTAATGGCATTATATATTGAGCTCTGCATATCTAGCTTATGTTACTCCCAGGGCTTCTTAGTGATTTTTTTTATAATAATATAAATTCTTCATATATTCTAACTAATGCTTCAACCTGCATCCTTTACATTGACTATTAAAAGTGTTCTAGATTTCAAACAATGTAATAACCAATAACTTATTCTATGCTGGTTAATGAGCAAGTAATGATTATTTTTTTCACTACCTATTACAAACCTGAGCCGAGTTCAAACACTGGAGAGAAATTGGGGCCTACATATCCAGTGCTGCATATTCCGCCAACATTGTCACCAGTGCATCATGGTAGTAAAATGCTAACTCCATTTTCTGTTACTTTGAATGTCCTTCAGCATACATTTACACGCAGGAGAATCCATCCTTCTCTACCGGTCACTGGTAGATACCCCACATCTTCTAGTTGGCTTTTATTCTCAACTAATAATAAGTAATAAGTTGTGCATATCTTCAGGTAATAGTATTAGCTTGTAACTGGCAATGTTACTAGCATGAAAACTTTGTTGTTGCTTAATAGATTTACTTAAATCGCACTGAAATTAAACCAGGAAACAACATATACATAAAAATGAAGATGTTTTCTGTTCCTAACCTTTTTTAATGGGTTTTTAAAACAGGTTTTTAACTTGTTTGCTTTCTAGTCAATTCCTAAATAGTGTAGTTTATTTTGGATGACTGATTATAGGAATCTTGCGCATACAACCAAAGCACAATATTTTAAGTCATGGCTTCTTTTCAAGGAATGAAATGATCTTTATGTCCTGACATGTTTTATCATTTTTAGACTAAACCAGTTATCTGTGTAAGTTCAGTGTGTAGCCCTTTAAACTGATAGAATATTATCAGGACTTATTAAAAACCAAGCACATCTTGCTATTACAGCTGTGTTTCAGAGATGAAACAAATGGATGAAAAAGTTCTCTCTAATTGTATCATTAGCTAATGGTATTTTTAATGAAGTCTGTTAAAAAAACTTAAGATGATGTGGTATTGTAGTACTACACATGGTACTATGTGAGTCCTGCTGCTAAATATTATACAAAATTCTCAAAGAAGGTTTTTTCATACAGTTACTAAACTGGGAGGACAAAATATTGGGAATAAAAATAATAGATTTTACTCTTAGCTATCTATTAGCCCCGTGGGACTGTCCTTATCCTTTTAATGGTTGTCCTAATCCATACTCTTAACATGCACATAAATGAGCTATTGCAGACATTCCTGCTGTCTTTTGCCCACTGTATGGTCTTGTTCCTCCGTTTCTTGCAGATAAAAGTGAGGCAATCCACCCTTTTTATTTTTAGACACTAGTTATTTTTGTTCAAGTGATGTTTCTTCCTAGGACTTGGTCTACACAGGAAAATTTTTGTCTGATAGCTATATCAGGGACTATTTTTATTCTTCATTTATTGCACCATAGCTGTGCTGGCAAAACTTTACTTTATATACCACTTATACTACCAGGAAGTCCTGTTGCCAGTTTTGTTTGTATTTCTTGAGAAGCTGGTTTGTTTCTTTTGTTCACCTAAACCATACCCCTTAAAAGACAGTTTGCTTTCATCTTGGCTTTACCTAGTAAACCTTTGTAGGAGTAGACATGTCTAGGAGGTACTAGGACATGGTTTTGGAGGGGTAGTAGCTCAACAACACTGTGCTCTCACTAAGATGTTATGCAGTAGCACAAAAATCCTATGAGGAAGGTGGAGTTTTTTGTTCTTCCTCATCAGTGATTCTTTTAGTCCTCTAACCACCATCCCTGATGAGCACCACAGATGTCTGCAGCCTGTCAAAGATTAAGTAACTTGTTATGTTGAGCTTGAAGTATGGGAGCACTGAGAGTAAAAAGGACAGTGACAGAAAAGAGAAAGTCTTCACAATCTCAACATTAAAAACCTTAGATAGGAAAAACAGTTTCTTAAGTATTCTTGGTAAGTAATGTGACAATCTAAGTCATAAAATCTTTAAAAGCTCCTTAAAGGTCAGTGGATTCCAGTAAATTTGACATTAGTACTTTGAGGTTTTGAAATTAATGCACTTATTGAAAAATTTTATTACCCTTCTTTTTTCCCTAGTCAATAGATGTGATTTTTACAAAAAGTAGAATTTTGTGGTCTACTTCTTCAAGCTGCCATTATGTCAATCAAAAATGAGTCTGGCTAATAAATTATTTTGGCAAGTAAATTAAATGCTTTTGTGGTTAGTTTAGTGTTTTCCTGAAGCTCCAGCACAGGCAGGAAGCATTCTGCCTTCTCTCTTAACCAGACTTACTGGTTACTATGTGTCAGCCACAGGCCATCTCTAGTATTGTTTTTGTCTTGCCTGTATAATCTTACTAAGATGCATCTTAACCAACACTGGCTTAAAAACAAATGCAGGAGGCAGTGGTTGCTTTTAAAATTATTACCCCAACCATTTCCCTGGTGAAACATAAACACATATTAAATAACATAACATTAATAATTGCATAAAAGGAATGTTGTAAAAAATAGTTTCAGGAGAGAGAATAAACCATTAATGAATTACTGCATTAGTGAAGTAGTTTGAGTAATAGTTGAGATGTTTGTACTAAGTTGATAAATGCTCTCCAAGTAAATCACTTGCATATATCTTCTTTTCTAGCCTTAGTTCAGAGTCCTTTAGATCTCCAAAGGTTGTAGATAATTTTTGCACCCACTCAGTCAATGACTGGCAATGCGGCATGTAGCCACAGTCATTCATTCTGTCAGTCAGCAGCCCTTGATAATGTGCCTGTCAATATAATTCAGTGCCTGTTCAGGGAAAGTGACACTTTGAATAGTGGACACTTTTCAAAAGCATTCATACAGGGTCAGTTCCATGATAAATAAATATATTTTGCGTTTGGAACAAATAGGCAATACGCAGAAGCCAGAGTCAGAGCAGAAATATACAACCAGTCTGCAGGACACGATAAGCTGCAGTGAAGAGTGAATATCATAAATGCATCTTTGAGGTTTTTTGATGCTGCATTAATGATGAGATAATGGATAATATAGTCTTCAGGATCCTACCTGGCTCAATTGAGCCCTGATCCACGACCAGGGGCACTATGCTCTGCTACACTACAAATGAGATATTAGAATAATAGTATCAATAGTTCTTTAAACCCTATTAAAAAGAAGGAATATTTTCATAGCTGAGGGAAAAACATAGGCAGAAATCTTTAATTACCACTAACGGTGTGTTAAAGAAAGTATTTATATGGCATACAATGTTTAGTTTCTAGTTTCTATTAATACAGGCTGAGAATGTGAGGAAGAAATATGTGATAGTGACAAGATTTTTAATGGTACCTCACCTTAAATGCATTTTAAAATATGTAAATCAATAAAAAAATTATTTGTAATAGCAGACTAAGAGTGCTGGTTAGCCTTACTGCTGAATGAAATGTATGCTACAAGCCCTATTACCATACATCGTGGGAGCTGTAGTTAGGATTAATCTGTCAAAAGGGATGGTTTAGTGTTGATGAATATGACATGTGACCATTAATGATGTTGATTTTATCTCCTGAGATTAGCATGATTTACTTCGGATGGATAATAATGTCATTTGCTTGATGCAGTAGATCTGTTTACGAGCTGATTAAATTGTAAGGCCTTGCTTCATTTCATGCTATTTGGTTTACAGCTTCATTACTGCAATCACAAAAGCTGTGGAAATGTCCCACATCCCATGTCACAATAAATCATTGTTTAAGATTGCAGCTATGTATTTTAGCATTTCAGTTTTGCATGGACCATGCATTCCTTAACAAATATGTGATTGGGAATACATTAACAAGATATTCTGGAACATACTGCTGCAGAAATGTAGAAAATCAGCCTGAATCTTTTAATTGAGATTAAGGAAGCACTTGAGTAATTAGCTGTAACAAATTACCTTATTATTTAGACAGTGAAGTAAACGTTTTTGTTGCAAGAATGATTATCATAAATCTGCAGAAAAGTGACAGTCAAACAACCATAAAGGAAACTTGTAAGCAAACTACATTTTCTGCCTATTACCTTTTACATTGAAATAAAATTTATCAGAGACATACTCTAAAAAGAATGTAGTTGTTGTTTAGGGATAGTATATGTTACAAGCTATACCATCTGTGATTACTGCACTGGGAAGAAAATATGCACGTAAATCACAAAGAAAAAAGAAGAATCTGTTAATTATAATGGCAAATGCTAATGTTACCATAGTTAAGGCTGTGTCAACGTTTTTATTATAAACCCAGTTATAAAGGATGAAGGAGAGAGGGAGGGTGGCAATCAGCCATCAGAGATTGCTATGTGCTAAAATTTTGTGTACAAAAAGGCACACTTACACCATGTAAATCAGATGTATGCTCATAGTCTCAGTGAGAGGAGGACCAGGGCCAAACTCTCAGCTTGGGAGTGAGAGTGACTATGTTGTAATAATTTTTTCACATTTTGCATTAAATGATACTGCTATTTTTATTGTACAGATTTCAAAAATATTGCATTTATCAGTGAATTGGG